CAGCCAGTTAGAGGCAGAGCCAGGGTCAGGGGGCACCTCCTCCCCAAGCAAAAGCAGGTGCTCCACGGAAGCCCCAGAAGCCTTGACAGGCTCCTTCCCACCTGCAGGTCCTCGGGAGCTGCAGCGTGAGGGATGAGGTGTAAGGAAGCCCCCCGTTCCCCCTGAGGTTCTCTGATGGATGGGGAACACCCCCACGGGCCTAGGGGGTCGGAGGGTCACGGCCCAGCACCTGGTGCTCAGCAGGCCATGCAGAGGGCAGGGAGCAGCCCCCTGGCAGATGGGGTGCAGCCTGCAGGGCCCATGAGAGGCCCACGTGGAGTCAGGGCTGGCGCTGGAGGCTGTGGAGAAGGCGGAACATGGCAGGGGCCCGGGGTCAGGTCCAGGGCAGGGTTTGCTGCGTTGTTGAAAAGCTTGAATTGGCCGGGCTGGTGTAGCTCAGTGGTTGACCTTCAACCTGTGAGCCAGGAGGTCACGGTTTGATTCCCGGTCAGGGCACCTGCCCGGCTTGTGGTTTCCATCCCTGGTGGGGGTTGTGCAGGAGGCAGCCGATCCATGATGCTCTCTCGTCATTAAGGTTTCTATCTCTCCCTTCCTCTCCGAAATCAATGAACGTATATTTTTTTGAAAAATAACAAAAAGAATAAGAACTTGAGCTGGATGCCAGCACGGAGAGCCAGGGGCGTGTAGGCAACGTCTGTGTGTCTGGGTCTGCAGGGCCGCTCGCTGGCGTCGAGTCGTAGCTGGAGCCCCGTTCGGCCCGTTCAGCGTTGGAGTTTGCAGTCCTTGATTTTTCTTCTCTGGCGAGTGCCAGGCACTCCAGGGTGAAACCCCACGAGAGAGAACCGGTTGCCACCCGTTGGTTCCCACCACAGCCTCCCGCAGGTCAGGGACGCGGTTCCGGACGCCAGCTCAGTGTGAGGCAGGAGGAGCCGGGACAGGAGCTTGGTGTTGGTTCTCTGCTGGAGAGAACGGCCGGAGGAGGAAGCAGCGTGCAGGCCCCTGCAGGCCTTGGCGCCTGGCGTGTGGGGAGGGAGCGGAGATGCTCCAGCCCCTGTGCGGGCGAGGCCTGGTGCCCTCGGAGCCGGGCAGGAGGGCCGGGCGTGGAGATGCAGAGGCCCAGCCTGCGGGGCCAGGGCAAGGCCCCGGGCCTCCCATCAGAGGGCTGCAGGGGTTGGGGGTCGGGCCCAGCTGGCGCCACGG